CTTGCTGGGCCACAGTCTTGCTTGGCCAAAGAGTGAAGCTCCTTAGATAGAATAATGTTGAAAAGTATAATCTAGTGAGTATCTAGCTTCAGTGATCTAGATTCAATTTCAACACGGTATAATATTACTTGCAATTGCAAAAAAGTATCATTCTGCAAAACCCATCTGGGACCTGAAGAGATTGGATGCCACTGTCTTTAATGATCTCAATCGCCCCACGAGATGCTGCAACGCGTGCCTCATGTGCACGTTTGCATTTGGCGCGCTCGACCTCTGCGCTCTTGTTCTCAAGATCCTCGTCTCCGGTGCCGGCAGCCCATTCCTTGAAATGCTCGGCAGACCTTTGACTGCACGCTTGGGACGTCTTGTCGACGTCATGATCACAGCGATCAACATGCTTGGCTGCAGGTCGTTTCTTGGGCGTCGACTTCCGTTTTGGTGAGGTTTTCACAACGCGCGCTTTACGTTTGGCCTTTGGTGATGGTCCTGCATCCTCATCATGAGTGCGCTTTGATGAAGACCGGGGGGCAGGACCTTCATGATCATCATGAACACCCCCACCACCTCGGCCTCGGCCGCGACCGCGACCACGGCCACGCCCTGCTGTCTTCTCAGCTTTCTCCTAGCACTTGATCTGCTGTATCCCAACAACCTACCCAAATAGAATCGATCTAGATCATGAAAAAACATGCGCATGCACAAATTCATACTGTTGGACCGGGGTCCTCCTTTCTTTGAAGTCGAAGGTCGGATTGTTTTTCCCTCACCTGGTTATATGAAGTCGTTGGCACCTCAACCACCATGCTGCCAGGTTCACGGCTCTGATTGGGATCCGCTGGACCAGAAATCGAATCTCGGCAGTCGTCCTGATTGGGCAGGGTGCTTTTATCGATCATGGCCATGGGGAATTTGGGAAAAGGATTTCGAGACAGCATCGATATCAAACTTGTTCAAATTAATTCGAGTTATAGTTTTGTTGCCAAATGACACCACCCGCATCCTCGATATCAGTTTCCCCTTGATCACTGATGCCATGATCATCTTGGGTAGCTGGAGGTTCGTCATGAAGTGAGTGAATCTCAACAGAAGGCTCACGCTTCAAGCCCACCTTGGCAGCCATGCGCGGGATGGTGAGGGGGATCACCGTGTAGAGTTTAAGTGGACATATACAGCGCTGCGAAACCCCAAACCATCCCAAACCTGAACAAGTGGTTGCACGCCAACGTCGCCCTCCAGTTTCATGCGGTAGATGTTCTTCAGAACAGCGAGTTCATGAGACCTGAGACTGCGGAATCAGCTCTCATATATTAAGCTGCAATCAAGTGCCATAAATTACCCAGGGTTTTAAAGCACCAATGTCGTCTAGACTCCTCGCTTCCCATGTCCTTGCACACAACCGGGTCAAATAAGTAGCCAAGGATTTCAATCTCGTTCCCTGAAGCTTGGCCCAATCCTTGATTTTTGGTTTAATGTTCGAACCAACAATCTTTCTATAGTGATCAGCTCAATGCGCACTCCATTGAACAAACATGTGCATAAAATTATACAAGTATCCCGTTTATGGCCTTTCCAACCTCTGCTCTTTGTCTCAGCATCCTTGTAGAGCTTGAACACGGAGCAAAGATGCAGCATAGCCACCTCGGGTATGATGGGACCCCCCAACCTCTACCTTTTTTCTGGGTTCTTGGTGATTGCTCATGATGTTATCGCCCATGGACAGACTCTAAAATAATCCATGGGACCTCATGATCTTTCACCGTTGGAAAGAAGGAATTCCCAAATTCCCATATATAGTTCTTGAGGATATTGTAGTTCACCGGTTTTTGCAGGTCCTCCTCCCCAACCTTGAGCTGGGAGTTCTCCATGTCAATGACTGGATATGCCTCAAGCACCGGGAGCCGACATCGAATTGTGTGATTGGCCTAGCCTCAAATGTTTTACGCAGAGGTCATGAACGCGACCATGACACTGGATCATCCCTGATTTCATGGACCCTGTTCTCCACGTGGGGCTTTAAAAGATTAAAGATTCGCAGCGACATCTCCTGAGCGAAAAGTGCATACCGTACTCAATTCGAATCCCAAGTCATAGTTCAAGACTGGAAATTGCCGCCTTCATAGGCAAGAGTCGGTGGTCTGAAAGCTGAGAGGCTTGGTGAACCTCCCCTGGCTATCCGCTGCCGCCATTACCCGCTAAGGAAAGTTGATCGCCGGCGCTGACTGCTCACACTGCAGCACACAAACACAGCATGCACACTCAAACACTAGTGCAACACAGCCTGAGCCACCGCTAGAGTCTTGACATGTATGTCAAGCAGAGGCAATCCATGGCATATCAATCAGTAATGAATCGTCTCGACCTCTAAAATAACAGCAGGCGAGGAAAAAAAGGGTGGATGCACCTTTGTCCGAGGAAGGTCTAAAGTGAAATGCCATTGCTCGAGACATCTCAGCACAAAAAAAGAGATCCTTCCTTGATCCCCAAAAATGGCTATCGGACTGCCATGGACTGGCTGTTGGCCAAAACACGCCCACAAGCGCGCTTTGGGTCCAAACACATCCTCAGAGCAAAACACATCCTCAGAGCAAACTAGCCGAGTTTAATCTATATGAGCGCTTGGACCCTCAGGGTAACCTTTGGTTTCTCAGGCTTGGGACAGTTACTGTACTGACAGATTGGGATTTTAGCCTGCAACATTTAGAAACTATCGGTGCCCAATACTGCCTATGATGCTCTGGAACGGGCTAAAAGCACGAATCCCACGGTTGGTTTTGGGTTTTCATATCTTTCTGCTGCTTGAGTAACGCTGAGTAAAGGCAGTTTGGGTGGCTGGATCCTGGAACTTCCCTCATTCCCTATACCCTTTGGTCAGTTGAAAGCCTTTCGTGGGCGACCCCCCACCCAGCCACGGTCGTCGCTTGGCGTTCGTCTTTGGGCTCGAGCCGGTCCATCCCCGACGTCTGAGATGGCGAGGTGGGGAGCGAGCCAGCACCATGTGAGGAAGTTGATTTGAAAGTTTGAAAGTTCTCCAAATGTTTTCAAAATTCATTGAGTTAAGTTGTCCAAATGTCTTCAAAATTACTTGAGTTATCTTGAATTTCATTCGCATGTTCACGCAGATGTGTGCCAGACGTGACGTGTTGCTCCAAAGGATGGTAGTACTGTAAGGCATTTGTGCCTGAATTTGCTGGCGTTCCTGACACTGGCCAATGCCTGAGAACTATTGAATGACAAAAGGGAGGAGTGTATGTTCCATTCAGTTCGCATGAATCTGGCTCTCATGACCCTTCCCAGACGTCTCAAAGCCCCCCCATCATGTCTCTCCTCTTTGGGTCTTCGAAGGCTGGATGTGCTGAGACTCAGACACGACCCATGGCAATAAGACTGGAACATATGCCACCATATGCTACTAGGAACAAGTGCATCGCTAGTAGTAACAAGTGCCTTACTAGTAGTAACAAGAAGCTACTAGGAACAAGTGCCTTACTACTAGTAACAATAAGAATTTAATTGGAATTAATAGCTTCTTGTTACTACCATATCCAGAAAGACCCCGACCCCGACTTCCAACCACCCTTGGCCGGCCCTGGAGTCAGGACTTGGCCGTCCCATTCCCAGGTCGTGTCTGAAAAAACGCGGGTGCAATGAACTAGAAATAAACTTAATTCTAATTACTTTTAATTCTATGATTCTATGTATTTCTTGTTTCTACTAGCGATGCCCTCGCTACTAGTAGTAAGGCCAGGAGCCCCTAGTAGCGTCCTTGCTCCCGCGTGGTGTCATCCAGCTCGGAAGCGACGAAACCTCCTCGCTAGGGCGGAGCTCTTGGAGTGCTGGATCTGCCGCGATGGTCGGAGCACAGCCGCTTTGGACCCGGATAAAACCGGGCGCCGGAAACGAGGGACGGAGTGTGGAGTGTGGAGGCGATGTATGATATTATATATACAGACAGTAATTTATAGAGAGACATAGAGAGTGGTGAAGGGATGGAGTGGTTTTGCCATGGTTTGTCCCCCAACATGAAGTCACCCTTGAAGCCATTTGAGCACTGACGTGTGATAAAAGGCATGAAAAGGACCATATTTGGCTCAATTATTGTATAGAAGTCGATCGGTGTGGGTTGGGGCTCCCAAGCTAGTCTTTGTTACACCTGTAGTGATATGTAGTGATAAGAACTGTCGTTTGAGTGTGATATTTGATGCATGTTGATGTCGTTCATGTTTGTTACCTTCAGACATGTTTGCCTGTGGAGCAAGGTCACTGTCGGCTTTCTGCAGACCCAGAGGCATTTGTTTATAATTGCAAAAGCTCCACCAGGGTGTGGAACCACTTTAGCGTGTTTCCCACCGGCGATGCATCTGGATGGGGTGGAACCAGCATCATCAGTGCATCGGACGCCTCCACGCGGGTAAAACTGCATCCATCACGAGGGGGTGCAGATGCTGTTGAGCGCCCTCATTCATTACACCATCACATACCATCACCACTGATTGGCGAACGTACTGCCACTTCCAATGCCGGCCGGCTTTTGTTTGCAGCTTAGCTCCAGGAAGGCCCATGGAGGCCCCATGTTGAAGCGCGGACCAACGTCACGTCCCAGCGCCGACCTCGCCGTAGCACACAGTGACATGATCACCATTGATCACCTTTCTGTTCGCTACCCCAGCGAACAGGATCGGAAAAGGGGAGAGCTTTCTGATGGGAAGTGGGCCAATTTGATTATGTATTCAATTGTATTCATATGTATTCCCTATATTATATATATACGATATATATATATACATAGGGTCTTTACAACCATCCCCTATACATATAGTACATACACAGGGTATATATATATATTAGTATATCCATAGGGTCTTTGAGTGCGGGGAGGTCTGTTATAACCATCCCCTGCCAATGCTTTATCCTGTTCTGCCGGCTTCCGCGCACGGCCCCGCCCATCCAACCACGTCGCGTTTGAGGAACCGTTGGTCCAACCCTGCCAATGCCGTGGTTCCATGGGCGGCGTGCATGTGGCTGGGACGGCCGAGGGCGGTGGAGTCGATGCGCCGAAGAGTCAGATCGCCCCTGAAACCAATCCTCATTGGAAGGCATGTTTGGTTTACTTGTCTGGGGCCCTGGTGCTGCTTGGAATAGGCCAACACATGCAAGAACTTATGTCAGTCAAATTGGAAGGCCGAGCTCTCCCAATAAAAGCTTTGCTTTCGAGGGCTGCCAAACAATACATGTGTAAATTCAATTCATATATTCAGTTCAAGTTGCCATAAATTTTTCCTGCACTGTTGCCTCGACTCTGTTGTGGCTGTGAAACAATGTCGTGTTGGAATGAACAAGACAAACGACTCCAGATCTTGCTTCTGATGCAGCTAATCCAGGAAATACATTTGCCATCCTAAGTACTCCGAAATACATGGATCCAACATGAAGGGCTTCTCATGATGGTAGGTGGATTTTGTGGAGGAACCCTTGGGATTTCTGTCGGACTCTTCTGCCTGACTCTGTTCCGAACATTTCCGAACAGCGAGGCCTCTTGCGTGGAAGCTTGGGTGGAGTATCATCGGAGGAGCTCCTTCCAAGGCGCGACCGTCGGCAGCGACCTTCCAAACGTGTACATGATGGAATTGGTCGGTGGCCGAAACTTTGGCAGAGCCATTGGGATCAGGTTGGATCTTTGGATCTGGGTACCCTTTTGGGAGAATCTTGTTGGTTTGCAGTGAAAGATGAACTGCCAGCTTCTTCAGTGAAGTGACCTTGTTGAAGTCCCAGCCAGTGAACCTTTTGACATGCCTGTTTTTCAGCGGCCTCGAACCTATCGACCGGTCACTTGAAACAATCAGGTGTATAGTGGTCATGAGACCCAGACGAAAGGGAGTCCGGGGGGTTTTCTTGTGGTCTTGGAGTTTAATTGTTGAACCGTTACTTGGAATGATTGAAGCCACCAACTCATATGTTTTCAATTGAGTTGAAGCTAGCAATGAGTGGAGAGAACCTCTTCCAACCACTTAGTTGGAACAACATGGAGTGTTTTTCGTCCTGTCTGGAAATAGGCCCGAAAATCGCCAGTCTATAGAAATCCTTGATAAACAAGCGGCACAGAGACCTGATATCGATGTGATTTGTTGCACTCCAAAGAATCAAGGAAGTGGATGGCGCCCCTTGGAAGACGATGCTCCTTTACGAGGGTTTAATAGGGTTTCCACTTTTATGGGTATTTGTTCAGATGTTTTGCTTGAACAAGGACAGTCACAAAAGGATTCACAAGCTGATGCGTGGGATGGCATCATTTCCACCTACGTGGTCACGCGGTCACACCAAGGTCCCTGGACCCTTTTCAAAGGGTCACTTACTTACTGAACTTGCTGGACCTGCAAGTCATTATTTCTGGACCTGCAAGTGACTGCCATGACCAACTTACTGAACTTGCTGAGATTGTCATCATTTCTGTTGGACCTGCAGGTGCTGATGCTCCCTGCTGCCCTGTTTGCCGCACACCGCAGCTTGGGAGTTAACGCCGGACAACGCGTCGTCCGGAATCGCGGAGCAAAATGGGTCAAACCACCAGACATGGGCAGAACTTGATGGATGGGATAGGCCGGCTTGGGCCATTCTTTGAAAGGTTCCAAGGGTTGCAGTAGAACAACTGGCAAGAAGACCCTTCATGATGAACCAATGAATCTAGTGAACCTCATGAATCTGAGAAGCAAGTGATTAACTTAACATTTGTTGGTTGTTTGCCTTCAAAATAAACCAATCTGAAAGCTCCGGGAGCAGATGTGCTCAATCCTCCATTTCTCCGAAAGATTCAAGACTGTTGACGGTCTGGAAGACATTCCTTCGTACCCCGACAAGGGAGGGCATCGTTGAAGTGCATGTGTTCTCATTAATACACCAGCACCTTCCAACAGGCCTTTGGAGGGTTGTTAGGCCCTAACAGGTTTCAATTGGTGACCTGTTGGAGGTGCTGGCATGTGATTGCACTACAGATCCCGGTGATCACATCGCTACCTTTATTTGCAGTGTGTTTCCTCAAGTCACTTACGCAGATAGACAACTTCCATGAGTCTTTTGAGGTGTCATACTCCAGCAAATTTTTTGAGACAAGTCCCAGGTTTGTTGAGCAAGACATCCTGTCCGGAGTACTGAAGAAGTTCCTTAGTACCAAACAAGATCTAACTCCAGACTCCGATCTGCACTTTGACAATTGATGCCTACCGTATTTTGTGACATCCATCAATCACTACAATAATTTGTATATTATTAGTTTTGTTTCCCTAATTATGTTTGCAGCTTAATCAGTCAAGAAGATTAATAAGTTAAGATCATAATGTGATTTATGATCAACAGTAGATGATGTTGGATGAAGCTGGGTTCTCTTGAGGTCCACTGCTTTGCAGCGGTTGGGAACCTTACGTTCTCTTCGCCGCAGGTATGGCGGACACAACATGGCCCCCGGACCCAAAATCTTCGTCCGCCACTTGACGCGGTGCTTCGGCCAGCAACTCTGGCTGACGGTGTCCGAAGCCATTCGCTTCGTGGTACTGGGCACACTGTTGGTGCACTTCTGTAGGCGGGACGCGACGCTGTCACCCGTCGCCCGTGTTGGATGTTGGATGTCGCCTGGCAGAGGGCGAAATGAATTCTTCAGTTTTCTTCCATGTATGGCTTCGATGGGGCCAGGGCTGTCTTGAAAGTTGGGTCCCAAGGTTCTTCGACAAAGAGCACCTATCACTATCACATTTTTTTCATCATAATAGGCAAAAGAGTGCCAAACCTCTTCCCAACAACCTTCCCCCCATTCGGACCTCCCACAGGCGTCCTCACCTCCCTTCGAAAGGGCCTAACGGGGGCCGCGAAAGTGAAGAGGAGCGCCGCTGGACGAAGCTCGCGGGGGTCCTTCTGTGCCTCGGTCTGAGGTCCTTCGCACGGGGGTGTGGAGGGCGTGTGTGTGAGGGTTTATGTTTTGTTGTTTAAGGGGTACAGTCACAGGCGTTCGCCATTGGCTTGGAAACAAAACATGTTTCAGGGGATCTCACTGCGAATAGAAGCTGCGTAAAGCTGGTGATCATCGATATATCATCGATGACAGTGGTCATAGTGCTAGTAGCATGCAGCATGCTCATGTTCTTGAGTGTGATCCTAGGCTGGTGTTTTCTGGCCAGCGATGCTGATTTCCATTGAACCTTGATGTTGGCGACTGCCAGATTGTGTGATACCTTAGTGAATGCAAAGCAATGCACATTCGTGACACACCTCCGTGGTATACCTCGGCCAGTATACCGACGTACTTGTACTTGTACTGAGATCCTTCAAGACGTTGTTCGAAAAATGAAGAACTGGAGCTCTCAAATGGAAAGGCTTTTGAGGCTCCGGCCTGCGGTTCCAAGGTCCAGTCGAACCAAAGAACCATCCCAAACACGCCACACCGCTCCAACGAACCACCCTACCTCGCGGCTTTCATCGAACAAACTACCTCGCCTCCGAGGTGTTTCTTCTTGCTCCACACCTTGCTGGTCTTGTTGGTCTCCTTGCCTCCGAACCGTCCGCTCCCCCAGCGCGTGGTGGTGCGCGCCTTCTTCACGGCGGATACCTGGCGCTTGGCACGACATGTGGCGGAGCTGTTGGCCTCAGTGCTGTTGCTGGGAGGGCGATGTTTCTACGGCGCCTGGGAAGAAAACCCCCGCGCGCTGGAAGATGAGCTTAAATGTTTAAGTTGATGTTGTATCAACGAATATCAACTATAAGGCATATATTTATATACAATATATAGAGATGTGTGTTTGTTGGGCAACTCGTTGTTTCGGAATGACACTCTGCCATGGTGAATATTAAGGTTTGTATGACAACTTGGTGGACGTTTGTCGCTTCAAGCAGTTGGCGACGTCCTGCAAGCAAATATTTAAAATTGAAATAGAATAAGTAGTGCATATCATTAGGACCGCTATGACTTGTTTTTCTAGATACCCCCATGAAAAGGACGCTGGTGCATGAGCTGAACTGTTTTCTGACCAGGTGATTTGCCCTTGCTGTGCTTTCTCCCCGTGGGCTTAGTGGCCTTGCTACCGGTGGTGCAGCTGCTGCTATGGTATAGACCTAGAGATTGCTGCCGAGAGGCCGCTCTGATGTTGGGCTGCTTAATGAGACTCGGCTCCAGAGTTCTCCACGGCCACCATTTGGACAGTGTGGTCAGTACACGTGTGGTTCAGAGATGTTCAGAGGCGGCCTCTAAAATCCAAAGCCCAGATGGGCTTGGCATGAATTTTGGGACTTTGTTCATTGGAGTATCATCAGCCATCAGCGGCACTGGCACACTCTGCCTAAGTTGTTGCACGAACCGACCAAAGAAACGCTCAAGTTCTCATGCGCCTCCACAGGTTCCCCCTCCACCAACCAGTCGTCACTTGTCAGTGACGTCATGGATGAAGGGACTCCCACATTGGAAAATGCTTCAACTGACACTGGCTAGAAGTCGTCTTCTCGTCAGACCGAGCCAAGCAGCGGGCTTGAAGCGGGTGAGCCACGAAACGCGCTTTTTTCGCGCCCGAGTGCGACTCAGAGTGCTCCACCGACCAGCCAGGAGTGCTCCTCTTCTCTTGGCCATTGAGCTTGGGCAACTGGCTTGGCAATGCCGATGGCGTTTCTTCAACGTCTCTTGGACACCCCTGGGTGGTCACCAGGAGTGCAGAAATGCGTAGCGGCCAGCAGTGGCCAGTTGAGTGATTGACCCAGCCACGATTTGTTTCCCCATGCCTCAGTCGATGTGCCGTTTTTCGAGCACCTGCCATGTGGGAGCAATGAAGCGAGGGTGGAAGATGTGGTTTCAGCAACGGACCCAAACATCGCCAGCTCAGGCTCCACCACACAACCAATGAATGTGAGGCTTTACCAGGGGGCAGCATGCGGGGGGTCGAGTTGAAACGTGGGACGGAGTTGAAACGTGGAGCCCAGAAGTGGTCTTTTCAGCGGGTTCGGCGGGACTCGGCGTGAGCTCATCCTCTTCAATTCCCCAGCCGGGCCACCACAAAGACCAGAACCTACAGCTTGGGTGGTCCCTTGAGGTTTGAGCTCTTGCGTTGTTCTCTTAAACAGGAATCACGCTTGGAGGTATCTAGATCACCCCCAACTTAAGCATGATAAAGTGAAGTGTGTTCCAAATGCACTGAACGAGGGCAATTGACATTTCAATCGAATCTATAAAGGAATTTCAGGGGTTAAATACCATACCTCCTGAGAAGCTTTTTGGATCCTCCAAACCCACCCACCCAGTCCCACCTTCTCAGGATCATAGGTCATAGATGGCTTTTTACTATTGGTTGATTGATAGAGGGGATATCCCCAAAAGAATTGTTTAAATTACTAATTACAACAAAATACCTTATAAATATATATATATATTTAAAGTCTATTGATTTGAATAATTGAAATATATATATATATATACATATGTTACCTGGCACTGACCCAGAATTCCCACGGTCCGGACATCATTGCTCATCGTGATGAGACTGCTGCTGAGGTCCGGGATGGCCCGCTGCACCTGTTGATTGCACTCATCGCTTGTCCCTTAGCCTTGCTCCGCACTTCCCTTACACCGGCGCTGGTGCTCTTCGCGGCACACTCGGCGTTGATTTCACTCTGCTTGGTCGCCAGGGGCTTCCAGCACTGGATCCTTGGACGAAGGCGAGTGTTGGCGTTCTCCAAATCCTGGCCCCTGGTTCCACAGACACTCCAATCTCACTCACCTGGAAGTGGTTTCTCGGAGGGCACCTTTGCTACTTGGACCATCCTGGCACCATGAAAACATATAAAAACATATTGATCGTCGATCACATTGTGGAGTATCGAGTCCATCCTGTCCGGAGATCTAGACAAATATGAGAAACCCAGACGCTCCTGGACCCTCATATGCAGGGTCGGACCCTCGTCTGGACCCTCAAATCCATATGGTTTTGAGGGGCCAAGGGCTGTTTGGAGCGTCTGGGAAACATGTAATTCTAGACCATGTCATGTATGGAATCATTCTATGCCTCCCCATGGATCCCCCAAACCAACCCAACTGATGTAGGCACCAGTCCCCTGGATGGTCTGGGCTGGGGCTTCGAAGAGGATGAAGGTGGAAGAATGACGTGCTGGAAGGTACCACCATGGCGTTGAGCAATTGACCTTGACATGACCATTGGGTTGAGCATTAGGTTGAGCAAGGGTACCAAGGTACCATCCTTCATCCTTAACATGACTTCACACCCAGTTTGACGAAATTGGGATCAGCTTGAAGGTCTGACGGTGGGAGACTGGAGACTGTAACATTCAAAGATGTATTTTGGATAAAGAACCGCCACCCTGGACCATTCGCGGCATGGGGCATCACTGTGCATCTCTGCAACATTGTTAGAGAACGTACCTTTTCTGAAGCACTGACGACAACCAGAGAGTGCATTAGGCGTTAGCGGATCTGGCGGATCTCAGCTTGAACATGTTTGTCTAAACAAACGGGACTGACTCTTCAAACCAACTGCCGAACCACGAACTAGTGAATGTTCAATACTCTGAAGTAACATCTGAAGTAACATCAACCCCAGACCACCCTCCACCATGAAAAGATAAACAACCCGTGAGACCATCAACCCCAATGATAGTCCCCATGTATCAGACCAACCTGACACCGACGCGACATTCCCCCAAATCTGCTTCTAATCAGGTCCGACTCCTTCCACATCCACCTCCCTCCCTCCTCAGGTACCCCACCTGCGTCGCCTGCGTGACCGAGCGTTGCCGCTGCCTGGCGCGGGGCATTTGCCACGTGGGTGGCTTTCGGCGCTTGGCACGGCACGGGGCCCCGGGGATTGGAGTGCCGACTCCAGACGCTTGGGACCTGGGACGCATGGTGCCCCTGCTGGTGCGCACAGCTTCGCATACCGCTGGTATGGACGGGTATGTTGAGAGGAAAAGAACTCCATGTGCTGAAGTCTGAAAAGTGTGCTGAAGAAGGGGAAGGAAAGAAAGTCTGATCCGCTAAGCCTACAAGTTATCAAACGCAGATTCCGAACCAAGGGGTAGTCATATCTATATCCCAGACACTCCATGTATGCCATATATCATATATGCCTATACATTGACCCCCCAAACCACCCCAATGTAGGCATACATGGCATACATGGAGTGTCTGGGTATATAGAATCGACAATTGATGAATAATATATACTCATGTATATATATATATTATATATATATACTATACATCATTGGCAAATTGGCAATATCTAGTCGTTGCTGTTCTTGTCAGATCTAATTCCACCTGGGGGGCTCCTTTGATTGACTCTCTGCACATAAGGAGATGCCTGCGAACGAAGCTGCAAACGGTGTTGCTCAAGGTAGTACTGTACAGGGCTCTTCAACCATCTTCAACCTTTGCTTCAGCAGAACATTCATTAGACAGCCCGATACCAAGCCTCCCAGACAGTGAATGGTGTGTTACTTTAAGTAACTTTATGTTATTTTGAAGAAAAACTTGTTTAGATCTCTTCCACCAAGAGACCAATTGCCAAACTTTAGCGTATTTTACATGACTTAGGCTTCAGAAAAGGTCACCAACAGGGACTCCAAAAGACGAACGCTCCCACTCCACACGACCCACGGAGCGCCGCATGTTCAGGCGGGAGCCTCGCGCGGAGCTGGTGCCTGTGTCTTGGTTCGTTCAGGAAGTGACAGATGACACTGTCCGGGAGAACTCAGGAAAAGACCATGTTGGGTCATTCAGAGACCTAGATGTTTCGCACAAAGAGAAGGAAGCTCGCATGCGGCTGACATCACCAGGTATTGGTGCCATCCAGGATCCGGTACACCCCGTGGTGTCCGCGAACCCTTTGTGCGGGGAAGTGAGAGAAGAATCGAGGAAGATGATGAGCTTCATTGATTGGCGCCTAAAACAGGACGTTCACAGAGCGCATCTTTGAGTTTCATCGAGTTCTTCATCTTCAATAGTCAATATAGTCTGTTTGTCTTTAGCACCAGAAAACGTTGACCTCACTCATACACACATCATCTACCACCAAAACATATACCAATGTCTTTTTTAAACTTGATGTGTTTGGGTCCACCCACCATCACCCATCTCCAACACGCCTGGCGGAACTGCCACACCTGTGGGTCCGAGGCGCACCGTGGCACTTGGCGGCCGGGCAACACCTGGTTCTTCGCGGTGCTGGTGGCTCTGGCCGCCTGGCCGTTGACCGACCGGTACCGTCTCGGGGGAACGAGGCCATCGCATCCGCGGTCCCAGACCGGAGGAGGGACTGGAAGAGTTGCATATGAGTATATCCCATCATGGATCCCATCCAAATGACCCACATGTCATGCAATGTAACCTTGAGATTCTTTGGGGATTGGTTTCACGTGTTTCACGAACTGGTGATGAACAAGTAAAAGGTGACACATGGTTAACTGTTAGTTATTTTCCAGGGACACTATTGAAGTGAGGAATAGATCTGAAACAAAGCAGCTGAAAATAGGCATTCTTTACCAGTGGACACGGTGGCGCACGAAGAACGAGGAGATGTTGTTCGTAACTTTTCTAATGGCGGACTCTTGCAAATGTTTGGTGGTCCATGCTAAGTATGTGGGGTGTTTTGTTTGGGGGATATGAAAAAAAATATATTTCGGTGTGTGTCGTCTTATTGAACAAATAGGACTTTGGGGTCGCACATGAACGCCATCATGACTCATGAAGGTTTCAGGTGGCATACATACCCAATGAGGAGTCCTTCTGTCAATACACCAGTTGTTGTTCCCTCAATGATCTTCTGTCATAGAGCCAGAGTCAGATCTCAAACATCGTTAGAATCACCATCTAGGACTTCCAGTCAGATCTCTGTAATTCCTTTGGTACCCAGCAGGATGCCTCCTCTCTTGAGCGTAAACGAACGCAGCTAGATCGTCGTCACCGCCTAAAAGTGACATTGACCCATGAAGCTGGTTCGTACATGGCGTGTTCGGAACTTGGAAGCCAGTTGGGTGTGTATCTTAATAGGGAGCCCCCCTTGCCCAATGGGTAGACTGGTCTTGTTCCCTCTATTTCCTTTCCAAAAGAACCGGCTGGTCTCCCTATTTTAATGCGACATCCAATTAAATTCAGTTCTGTTCCATCTCCTTTTTGGCGAAAAAACAGACCCTTTCGCCCTCAGGAAGCCTTTAGCCTCGCGGTGGAGCAGAAGTGGGCGCCTGGGCCTGTTGGGTAGTTTTTTTTTTTGATTTTGGATCTATTACATAGCCCGGACACTCCATGTGTGCCATATTTGCCGATTAGGTGGGTTGGTTTGGGAGTCATTGTAGGCATATATGGCGCACATGTGTCTGGGTGCAGGACCGGTTGGCTGTTCTTTCATGTACAATTCACTATTTGGGAAGGAGTACCCCAGGCCCATCCAGGCCCCGTTGACAGATATTCTTGGGACAACTTTAAACCACCATTTACAGGAATTGGATAATTCAATCATGATTACGGCATCGTGGCTCCATTCTCCGCAGCCTGTCCGAGTGTGAGCTCACATCCAGGTTGTTGGTTTGATCTACTGCTAGCTGTTGACGCGTTCATGTTTTGTTCATTGTTATTCCATGATGTTCCATGTTTTCTTGAAACACAATTCCCCGACAAGTCGAGCTCAATAACCACCTGGAACTGCCAGAACTGCTTTTAGGGTGTTATCAGATCTTAGACATGGAAGACGACTTGGAGCTTTCACAGCCCGATGGAAGAGGAAGGCCTCCTGGCAGAGGCAGAGGTCTTCTGCCAAAGGCTCAATCGAAGCCGTACGCATTGGGGCCTTGAGAGGGATTCCCTTGCCGCTCGTGTGGCCTCCACTGAAGACCGGGTGCGGTCGCTCCAGCAACGCAATGAGCAGCTCACTTTGACCGTGAAACTGCTGGAAGAGGCGCTGGTGTCCTGCCGTAGTCGGTCAGCGGAGTGCCTGGGGGAGCTCTTCAAAGGTCTTGGTCCGGTGGAGATCACGGGCGCTCCAACGGATCGCCTGGGAGCAGTCGGTGCTGATGCCGAGTGGAGGGCTTTAGCCCTCCGCATCCCTCGAAGGCGCAAGAGCTGGGCTGAAGCCAAAGCAGCCGTGGCATTGTCCAAGGCAGGGCTTCCGGAGGAACAGATTGAGGAGACGGCTTCGTGTCGTCCAAGCAAAGACCTCGAAGACGAAGTCGAAGGCTCTCAGATCGAGCAGGGAACGACTCGCAGTGGTGTGGGTGGCAAGCATCCTTGGGAGGTGGTCGCAACACTGCATTCTCCTCTTGATGATGGTGTACGCAGTGCACGAATCTTCCAAGGTGTTTTGTTGACAGCTGCAGAGGATTCATCAGTCAAGGCATGGGATCTAGGCAGCATACCTCAAACCAGGGAGACTCCTTGCGAAGACTTGGAGCCCTTTGCCAAGTATCGTGCTCACAGTGGCCCAGTTCTTTCGCTGGCTTTGCCTGACCCAGAGTCATGCCTTCCCCTGCCGGTGGCTTTCTCCGGAGGGATGGACGGTGACATTTATTCCTTTGAGCTGCAAATAGACGCGTCCGCAGACGCGTCCTCGGCGCTTCGTCCTGTCCAGCGCTATCGAGGCCACCAGGAAGCCGTTCTCTCCTTGGACCTGCAGTCACGGATCGGCCTGCTGGCCAGCGCGGGTGCGGACCAACTGGTCCTCTTGTGGCGAGTGAACCCCACACTCGACGACGGCAGACTCGCGAGTCCATTTGAGGTGTTGGACATTCCTCCGCCACATGGAAGCGAAGAGAGCAGCTTTGGTCCCCTGACCGATTTAGCCTGGGGCCCCCGAAGTGGAGCTACTTTGCTGTGCTGCAGCAGATGGGCAAGTACCTGTTGCGCCATGGATGCCGAGCAAGGCGTCGCAATCTATGGTTCCAGTGTCACAACTCGAGAGGACCGCACGGCACCAGTACTTGCTGTGGCCAGTCACGCTCTGCGGGATATTGCTGTCAGTGGTCATGCAGGTGGTGGTGGTGCTCGAGTCTTCAGCGCTCTCACAGGGAGGCCCATGTGGACCTTGGAGTCTGGGGACAAAGTGATTTCCTCAGTGGCCTTGGACCCCTTTGGCAACGGTTTCGAAGTCGTCACTGCCAGCAGTGATGGTTCCTTGCAGATCTTTGATTTGAGAACTTGTCGCTGTGTCCAGGAGGCTCAGCTACATGCTTCATCCGGCATCAATAGCGTTTGTCTTGCAGGAGACTTCATCGCTACAGCAGGGGCAGACGCGGTGGTGAATTTGCTTGAAAAAAGACAGGAGGTTAGCTAGCCCTCAGGAAAACCAGAGAAAACACATGAAGAGGATAATGATGTGTCCATGCAGCTCTCCAGCAAGGACGGGCGCGCAGCACCGTCCTTCTCTTTCGCAAATCACACTGGAGGAGAGGTCGCCGTACTTGGTCAGACCAGAAAAAGGCGCGAAAGCGGCAACGGTGAAGGCTTCGATATGGTCTTTCATCCTTACGGATAATGAACTGGTGAGATCAGCTGGTGTTTTGTTTGTCACCTAAAGGTTTCGGGTGGATCCGTGTACGTGCAAATAATCAAATGATCCGTTTTGAGGGGTTTGAACATTGGAAGATCATGTTGTTTGGGAAATCTGTCCATGACCGGGCCCATGCCACATTCGCCACGCACCAGGTGACCTTGCTCTTGTTGCTCTTGGCGCTTCGAGCGCTGCAGCGTGCCGCTCTGGAACCGCCACCTCCCATGACGCCTGGAGGGAGGGGATTCGAGCGGGGGAGCGACAGCAAGGGGATGGGCGCTTACACGACCTCCAAGTAGGTGGGGTCCGGATAGAGAAGATGGGGTCCCGGTCCGCTGGTTCTCTGCCGATGTGCTGCCTGTGGGCGCAGGACCGGGATCCGAACTTGTGCACCTGAATGCCCGACCAAGCAGGTATGCAACCGAAGATCGGTGATGTTGTTGATTGAAGATCACTGGTGATCAGTTCTATCCGCTTGAATCTTGAATATATATTGAATCTTGAATATATATTGAATATACATCAAAGATCAAACAGTGTGAGACCCGTGGTTCTTCAATAACCGTTCGGCACGTTCGCAAACTGGACCGCGTTTTGGTTGTTCCGTCGCTTGCAGCGTCAGCGAGCTGCTCAGTCGTTTTGCTCGGAGAAACCGAGAGCGGAGACCCCGAGTCGACCGGGTTGGACAACTCATGGACAATGACCGTTGATGAATAAGACATCCCAACGGACCCTGCATAGAAGGGGTCGGACCCTGCTGTTCACAGGGGGTTGTACCCTCAAAAGCCTTTTTTTTGAGGGTCCGGATCCTTAGGGATGTATAAATGTACAATGTAAATACACAAGTTACATGTACATTGGATATGTTAAAATAATCCATCCGTCTCCGGTTTACATCTGGTGCCAGGGTGGGGGGTATCATGTTTGATTCACATCCGACCCACAGGTTCCACCTGATGGCATCGAAGATAACCAGAGCGTATCAACGACTACTCTACACTGAATCTCTATATATATATATATGTTGTTTCCTTTACAATAGCACTGTTACTGGTATTACGGCAATATTAGTATATTTATATGATATATGATATATATATATATATTACTTTTTCCTGTAATAGGATCATATGACCTGTAATAGGATATGACCTGTTACTGGTAAGATAGACCCAACGGTCTATATGAATTCGGTGGTGCTCCACTTGGACCCTCCGTGTCGGCACGTCACGGCGCCGGTTGAAGCGCGCCGGTATGTCCGCCACATGATGGCGCAGAAGAAGGACAGCTTGGTAGGCTTGGTGTGAGCCCTGGAAGGCTTTCTTGGTTCATCATCATATATATATATGTTATAGTATATAACATATTATGGCAGGTCCGACTATGGTTCAATGTGAGTCACTGATTTTCATCAGTAGATCCTGTATCGGTGGGTGCCAGGAACTTTTACACTCAGAACTACTTTTAAATGTGTTTGCAGCTCGATGTTTCCTTTTTGCAACTGCACTGGCATCGTGATGGATGAGTTGCAACAAGTGAAACTAGTGAAACGCCTGGCTGAAACTAGTGAAATGAAACTCATCTATAGAACCTCCGTCGCGAGCAGTGCAAGCAGTGCAAACCCTAAATCTACAGCGTAACTCTATCATCGCGTCATGACGGGGCCGGGTCTCAGCCCGAAAAAAGGCTCGAGTCGCTGTTCGTTCGAACGTCATGACGAGGCCTCGCAATGGCATCGGCTCGCTGTTGCTGCAGGGGCCCATGTGGTGGTGTTCCCTTTTGGCACCTCGGTGTAGCACGAAGGTCGGAAGGCAACGTCGTGGGGAGATAGGCAACCCTGGTCTTAGCAAACCTGGATATTAGTGTTCTGTTTTGATGTCATCCACCAAGGTATCCACCAACTGGTCATAAGGTATAAAAGATATTCAAATATCGATGCGTCTTTTGTGTGCGGGCTTGATATCCTGGACTATACAATGATGATCAATAATGTGTTTGTTTGACCCCTTTTATATACTTACTTGGTGTGTTGACATATCAATTCCATCGATTCTCATAGAATCCATTGATTCTCCTGGAGTCCATCTACAATTGCTGAGATGGATCCTGATTACTGTTACTATATAATCCATGTATTTGTCCATACTGCTCATTCATACTCATTCAATTTATACTACATTCATATCGATGCATATATTCCACCATATATCACTCATCCTATTCAATCCTGCTTGCCCTCATCCGATTCAATCCGCCCAGGTGGCTGGCGAGGCCTCCGGGCTGCTGCTGCGAGAGCTCGGCCCGCCGCGGGACTTCCCCAGCGCGCGGTCGGCCACTGGGCGAGACCCAGAGAATCCGAGTTTCATGGAAGAGTGACCTACATGACCCGGGTCACTTGGGTCATACATCTGCTAGAATGGGTCATGGCGCCATGCTAGAATGGGTCATGATCTAGAATATGTACATATAGTAACATATGCTAGAATGGGTCATGGCGCCAAACAAAGATCTCAGGTTTCAGTCCGTGATCCAAGGCAAATTGGAGATGTCCGGATTGACCCGGGTCATACATCTTAAATAGAGTAGATGTAACTAGATTTATCATATATCTATAACTATTTCAGTCCCATGGGATGGTTTGGGAGAGGTAGCAGCTGAGAGCGTCCCTGTCCAGCTATAACACTAAAAACTGTTCGTATTGGTTTTAGCCCGGATCCTTTAAACTGTAAGGCAACACTATTACCCCGTGGCCGTGGAAGACTAACATGAACCCTGATATGTTACTAGTTTGTAGAAGAAAGCAGTCTTTCACTTTCAGTGTGCCATTCGACCTGGGTCCATGCTAGTTTTCGGGAGTGTACCTATATGACCCACGGTCAAGACGCGTTGATTCATGGCGCAGGTTTGTTTTTCAAAGAAGCCCTTCTCATCCTTCTCGGCCTGGAGTGTTCCTGGAACCTTCGAGTTGGATGCTGAGGTGGCGGTGGCCTCAGTGGCTTGGTTGCTCCTTTTGGCCTCCTTGGCATGCTCAGTGAATTGGAGCCGCTGCTGCTCAGGTGAGTGTTTTGGGGGGACGGGGGGCGTGTTTTGTCGGCCAGGAAGGAGGAGCTGAGGCAAGGTGAATTGCGGCATTTTAGGCGAAGGCGCGCTCGTAGGGATAGGAAGGAGATGGAATCAGGATGTTTGTTGTCCAGAGCTGGGGAGTGACATGGAAGAAGAGCAGTTCACCCTTAGGCCTCCGAGCAGCAGGCCGAAATCGGTCCATGGATAAGTGTCACCCTGCAATGCAGTATCAGTTCAACTGTTTGTGCATGTAAGAGCATACATCAATATCAACGTACCAGTGCTGGTCAGGTCTTTACCCAATACCATTGTGGAGTTGGTGGTCTCCGCCTGCCAAGCAACAAGTGTCTTTAGAGGTCCCCCACATGGCATCAAAGATAGAAGTGGCTCTTGGTCATGGCATGCAGGGAACCCCGGTGACTTTCCATATATGAGAAGATTCGGAGACTTTCGGAGACTAGGGCTGTCAATTCTGTTACAAAATGATGGGAGGCTTCACTTTGTGGATTCTACCTCCAGCACAGGTCAGCAAGGAACAGCAAGGTCACATGCTGCCAAACTGTGCCCGTGGACCGTGCTGCGTGGGCGTCATCGGTGCAGGCTACCGTCGCTGGCAGCAGAGGAACTCGACCTTTGTGCTTGCACTCACGGCGCCGGATCCATGATGCGCTAAACAAAAAGGGGCGCCGTTTTCGCCGGTCGTTTTGGTCCCAAAAGACAGCGCGCATCATCATCCCAAATGGCTCCTGGCCGACAGGGCTCCTCAAAGGCTCCTAGGCTCCGATCGATCCATGACTCGTGGGTTTGCAAGATCTGATCAGGTTCACAAAACAGATACAGTACCTTTTCAAACATAGTAACCATCCAGAGGAGACTTCGGGGAGAGCCACTCAGTGTAGATTGTCAGTAGTGATTGTCAGTATATTCAAGAATGATCTATCGCATTAAAATACATTTCAAACACAACCATTCTGACAACCCTCACACAACTCCGTTTTCAGTGTGTGATGGCATTAATGCATTTATATATTCATATCCCTAGTTTGGATGTTGACAGACTTCGCAACCAACCAGATTTTGCAGCATCAACTGGCAAGGTTAGACATCATGATGTTTCCTCCCTAAATGCTCTATGGGAAGTGTGTCACAGGTCTGGCGAGCCCAATCTCCTGTTGCTCCGGTGCAGGCGCAGCTGATTGGTGATAGCGGCTGGTAGGAATTTATCTCATTTATCTCTAATATCTCTCTATATAGAAGTAATATATGCATTATTATACAACACAGAGATATTATGTTAGTAATTTCGTACAACTATATGATTATATATATTATATATTTATATAACTGTATATATATAATATATATATATATATGTGGATCTTCAAATGGACGAAACGTACTTTCCACAGGACCTGACCTTTTGCCTTGACCCGATTTGCCCCGAAGACTTGTTCGCCGGGGCTCCGTGGAGGCAAACCTGGCACGGCGCATTTCTGGAGAAGGATGGCAGGTGCCGTTGCCCAAGTCGGAGGGACACAGGGACAGGGGTGGGTCGAGTCGGAGAGTGGCGTGGTGGCGTGGCTTTGGAGGGACACAGCTTGACCTGAGCAGCTTCAAAAAGAAGCAAGGGTGAGAGTGACAGAGTGATGAAGTCGATGGATGGTGAACTTGCATGATTTGAATGAAGATATCCTTTGAAATACCGATGACCCTCTCTCCAACAATCTTGGAAGTGGCCAAACAGGGGGTTGTCCATTTCCAGTTTTGTTTCAGCTTGGGTTTGCTCCAAATCGATCCCCTGTTCCAACAACGGTCGCGCTTCAGGGACTCAAAGATGCAGCCGGAGGACCAGACGGCCCGAGGACCTGACGGCCCTGTTGGGTGAGAGTGTTGGAATATGTTGGAGTATGTCATGTTTATAGCTCGGATCTCTGGGGTGTACCAAGTGATTGACATGATTGAGGTGCCCCCACCATGCATCCACAAGAGGGAACATGAACGCCCAACATGTAAGAATTGCAAGTTATCTAGGGGGATGTGTTTTCAAAAATAATAATACATGAAGGGTGGCCATGGCTGAAAGAGGTTGCTTTGTCTTGCGATTATAACATCCATTTGATGAGTACAGTATGAACAAACATCCATTTGATTATAACATCCATTTGATGAGTACAGTATGAACAAACATCCATTTGATTATAACATTTATTAACTAAAAATCAGATGTCCATATTGGATGACCTGGCTCCAATATGCCCCGTTCTTTGAAGACCCGATCCCTCACACACCGAAACCGAGCATGGGCATGGCAAAGACCGGTCTGGGCATGGAAATCGCGAGTGAAGGACCCTCAAAAGTCCTCAAACATCTCAAACACCAACAATCTCAATCCACTGGGAACAAAGACCCTCGTTCAAGACCCTCAATTCACACCTTCCAACCACTCAAGAATCGATATCCCACGGAACGTTCGTGCCCTCCGTCTGACTGAATCGGAGGACGGACCACGTTTGGGGGGCCACCGTACCGGTCACATTGGTAATCCGACCGAGGGACTGGTCATACTGGTAACTCATGTTTCCAAGCGACAGCAAGTGACGGCGCGTTCTCTTTGATGTGTGTCAGATCCGTTTTTTGCCCAACCCTGTTCACCGACGTGAGGAGCTAGTCTCATCCTTTGAAGCATTTCACTCGCCGACCCCTCGCCGACCTACCTCTCCCCCTCAGGGGTACCCGACTCGCTCGCTTCCAATCAACACCGTGTGATCCGGTCGTAGGAAACTCCATCCGATGCCTCCCAGGTCCCAGCTCCACAGGTGGTGCCACCTGCGCAGCCGGTGCGCGCGGAGCAGTCTCGCGGATCGCTGGTGCACCTGAAAACACCGGTCTTTCACCAGGTTTAGCAGGAAAACCTGGTAAGAAAACATAGCAGGAAAAAGAAAGACGTCAGGCAAAGAGCAACATGGACCCTTGTTTTCTCCAGATACGATGCCCTTCATGGCTGCGAGGGTCCATGAAAGATCGGCGATGCTGCCCGGTGTGGAACAGAGCGAGCGCTTTTTAGCCAAGGTTGGCTCAACAAAGTGGGCCTTGCCAAAAACAAGAGGGAGGGGAAGAGCTTGGGTTTTTCAACCAAGCCTCCTGACCCTGACCCAACTTACAGAAGGGACATGACCATATATAGATGTTGACATATGTTGACTGTTGATTGATACAACCACACCTACCTAGTGTTTGTTTAACAGTTCATGTGGGGAGTTTTTTTTACACGAAGAATGCTTAAGAGATGTTTCAATTCCAGTAGCATGTTCTACCAGCACTAAAAAGCGTTGTTTGGAGAGAATATGTTTTCAGATTAAAAACCAGTGCCAAAAAGGTAAATGAACTGTACATAAAAAAGGGAGCTAAAGGCAGAGGCAAATCATTGAAAATCCAAAAGGCGTAAAACAAAAATATTAAAAGGCAATTTAAAGGCAATCCTTGGAACAAAAGTCGCCCACCAAAGAAACTCATATGTGCCTTTGATTTGCTTGCCTCCGTTTACTTTGTCTTTTGAGTACCTTTTATTTGCCTTTTTCATACCCTGTCCATAGCCCTTTTGTTGCCTTTGTGTTGCCTTTCGGATGTTCAATTGTCAGCCTTTTTGGTTTACCTTTTATTGACCTTTTTGCTCACCTTTTATTAAATCCTGGAATCGGGCCCTGTCCATATCAACGTCTTTTAATACCAGCACCTTCCGTTCGTGGTCTCCAAATGGAATTCCCTGCACTACGTACGTGGATCTCCATTGGCGTTCGCGCCATGGCGTTCACGCCGTCCTTCGCAGAGACTGCGCCAGGTGGATTTTTCCACCATGGACTCGGTGGTGAAGTCCTCGCACCGGGCCATGATTTTAAAGGCAGAATGGCATCTCGGACCAGGAACACAGTGGTGTTAAACGGTCTATTCTTTGAGGGGAAAGGGGCGAAGGGGATGTCAATTTTTCTAGTGTAAAACCATTGCCCTGTGGCAGAACTGAGAAGAGAGACAGATGTTTGATCCACGTCCTAATCATCATGGCGTTGCACTCCCCAATTGTTTGAAGGAGTCCACCTGCCAGGCAGACAACATCGTGTTCAACGCGTTGTGGATTCATGTCACATTTCATTATCCAATTGGAAGCAATTATAATCAAGCATTCTTTAAGACCAATAGGACCAAGCAAACAAGGCCAGCAGCCTTTGGGAGAACCTCTTACCTGCACCTTCTCATCACAACAAACACATTACCTCTTGTGCTAGCTTCGCAACGCACCCTGCCATTGCAACAAACATAATACGCACCTAGAAGGGTTGATTAGTCCTACGATGGTATTAATCGCCCCCTACCCTTGCACCAACCCTAAGCCCCGCCGAGGCAGATGGAACCCCCAGCACCACCGATGGAGGTCGCTGGGAGTCAGCCCGCGAGTTATAGCGAAGCGCCAGGCCTGGAAACACGCACTCAAACATGTGTTCGGGCTGCATGGGTGTGGTTGTAGACCATCCCTTCGGGCGAGCGGCTCTAATCACGTGACATCCTTTTGAGAAGGTGGTTGGGGTGAGGTTGGGGGGTCTAACTACCTTCTGAGCATGTGGCAAGCGCTTAATATGCCAAAAGCTCAACATGGTCTATTTTGGTCTCCATTGGTCAAAAGAGGCCTCTTCAGAGCCCTCCTGGTGGTTTGGGAAGACCATGTGCCCCGGAGCATAGCTGAGCTATCAAAAACTCACGTTTCAAGTCATCCGATTCATGTAGAGCTGATGTTCGGATTCACACCTAGGACCCCGTCAGACTCAGATCCCCCACACAAGTCTGAACGTATTCAGCAGACGGTTCACTGCCATCTCCAGCAGACGGTTTCACGCAGTCAGGCCACTCACGGGGAGGTGCTGGCTATAAGTCAGCCATGCAGTTGCTGATGGAAGCCAGAGCCGGCGAGGGCAGATCTGCTGCGCATTCGTCCGCCTTGCAGCTGTTGCGGGAAGATCCTGGGAAGCACTGGATGTGAACTGGTGGATTCACAACTCTCCGATGTTGGTTCCTCATGGTTCCACAGAACCATGAAGATCATGAAGTTGAGTGAGTTATCAACATGTGAACCATATCTTTAAGGGGATACACCCTTAGGGTACACCCCGGCCCTTCCCATGGGGATTGAACCATCATGGACCATCACCTCCAAATCTGTCCGCAAGTGCCTTGCTACTCCCAGGCCGCTGCTGCCCCACGGCGCGGCGCCCGGCGCCGACCTCGACCAGCTCGCGCCCAACGGCGGAAGGAGCCAGGCGGGGATCGAAGGGGTAGGGAGTGCAGATGGGTGGGGCAAGAGGGATCATGAAAGAAAAGACATCGATAAATGTACAAAGATGTACAAAGTGTTGTGAATGTGTTTTGCTTTACTTGAACTGAAGCAGGCCGAGACAAAGTGATTGAGTAGATCCCTTGTGGCGAACATGGCTGTTTCCTTTCAAAAGATCAATATATTTGTTGTTAAGCACAGGAAATATGATCAGCACCGTCCGGGCATGTTTGATTACCAACAATTTTGGGATGATGTGTTGCTCCTTGTGATGCTTGCTTTCCCTTTGTGTATTTGTTCTTTGTGTGTATGTGACAACGTTTTTATATAAGTTAGTTTGGTGTAGTTTGCGTGCGCATTCCCCTGCAAGCTATGCAACACAACAGAAAATACATACATCTTCAAGTGGCGTCATTGTTGTTTAGGTTTCAGTTTCTGGTTGGTCAAGGATGTGCCGATTTGTTTTGGTTTGCTTTGGCTTTGCCTGGTCTGGTCTACAATAAAATATGAACAGCTGGTTTATAATGTGGCAATTATCAACGATCAACGACTGCCTTCAAGCTTTTACTCTTCACATTCACACGGAAAATGGAAGAATCTACTTGTAGCGTCACAGAATTTGAATATCAACTTGCGAGGGTTTTCGTTGGCATGTTCCAACCCGCAAAATGAAAAATATTTCTTGGCGCAAAAACAGATGGCGTGCAGAAAAAGCCGACAAGAAGCACATTGGTTGGGTGTCTCAGTCATCAAAATGCAAAGCCATGTACCATGTAGTCATTTACGGTCAGACGGGCGAATATCTACATCCTTGAGTCAATCACCTCGTTTGCGGAGGCACCCCAAACGGGCCAATCGTACAGGCTGGAGCGAACCCGGCTCTTCGGCATGTCCAGGTCCAAAGGTGGAGCCGTTGCCAGTGCTGGAGCCACTCATCGTGCCCAAAAGGGCTGCTGGAGCAGTGACTCAGGGTCCAACCTAGTAGCGATGGCCTCCACCCTAGTAGCAATGGCATCCCTGTGTCTTACTTTGTGAGCAACAGCCAACTTGTTGCACTAGGTTATGGCAGGGTCTTAAAAGGGAACTTGTGCATGGTTCCTCGCATTTGAGATCAACTAACCTGCGGAATCCTGCGGATGCCTTTTGCAAGATCCAACATGTTGGAAGGCGGCTCTATTACGTTGAATCATGGTGAATCCATTGTGTCCTGAAAGCCCAATGAAGCCCAGGCGAACTTGGATTTGGATGAGCTGGGTGAACTTCCACCGGGCCGAACTTCCACCCCTGCATGTTGTTCTGCTTCTCCGCACCCTTCCCATTCCGGATGACTTGCACCAACATTTGAGGAGATTTGTAGAGTCAGTGAACAATACCAATTATAAGATGTACCATAGATAACATTAGATAACCATAAATTGCATGATACTGAAAGAAGGGACCTCAATTTTCTTTTTTAAACTACTCCATTGGATGGTGGATGGATGGAGTTTGGTGGTCCGGATGCATGGAGTGTTTTCTGCCTACACCGAGGCATTATTACATCCACAAGCACATCCATCGACATCACCAGCAGGTGAGACCTGAGTGAGTCGGAGTGAGACCTGTGTTGGCCAAGTGATTCACTCATGGCTCAGTGAATTCACCCGGCCGCGGTGATCTGTGACTGTTTCACGGATGGGGTGCAGACTCGAGACCTGCCCTTCCGGGCAATGAAAAACCAGGAGTTTGGCCAGTGCTGATTCTAGGGGTTTGTGAACTGAGTGCCACCGTCCTTTGGTTTGCCAACATGTCACAAACCGATTCTTGCTGGTCCATCCCTGCTATCGTTTGGATCGCTACTACGTGACCGGCTGATGGCCAGGGCCACTCGGTAGCCTGGGACAAGCCCAAAAACGTTGAACGACTTTCGACCTCATTTATATATCATGGGCTTTCGCGGTGCAGAGGATGGCTTCTTTTTGGGTGATGGGAACTAATCCCAGACACTCCATGGGACTGACATATTTACATACATTGGGGTGGTTGACTGGGGTCAATGTAGGTAAATATTCCATACATGGAGCATCTGGGAATTATATAGCCAAACAGAAAGCAGAGCGTTGATTCCCAGCCAGATTGCAGCCAAACAGAAGCTGAGAGGCAACATGTCTGACATGATCATGCAGAGTTATTAAACCCATTCAGTACATGATAGCTGGTTGTAAGCAAAAAGGCAGACTGCTGAGGTGTCAAGATCTTAGTTTTTAGCTGAATCAGTTTCGCAAACATGTAGGATTTATAGCAGAGGGGTCCACTTGTCCACACATTTCATGTCTTTTCACCACCTGTTCCTTACCTCCTTATCCCAGAAGCGCCAGGTGCAGGTCGGCCCGCTCCTTGAAAGTCGACCTAGCAATCGTCAACAACCAGTCAGCTATCATGAGCTACTGTATCAGAGTCAACCCATTGCATCCATGGAGTTACATACCAGCACCCTCCAACAGGTCACCAATTGAGACCTCTCAGGGCCTAACAACCCTCTTTTGGAGACTTGTTGGAGTTTGCTGGTGTATATTATTATGGGTATATTTAAAAATATATATATATATGTATACATTACCTATATACACTCACCCCTATCCCAGATGCTGCATTGGCCTCTGTGAACATGTGCTCAGTTGATGTCAAACACTCACCTTCGGTCGTTCGAGAGTACAGCATGTTTTGACAAGAGTGCACCGCTCGCTTCTCAAGACTTGAGGGGCGTCTTAGGATGAAAAGGCGCTGGCTGTCCGAGGGGATCTGCTTCCACTGTGTGCAATACACAGTGGTAGCGGAGCCCCGGTATGGGCAGTGAAAGCGCCGAAGGAGTTCCCACCGAAGCGTCGTCGGTGCCATGGAAGGATAAGGACCCTCCACCTGGGTTCGATGGCGACGTTGACAAGTTCAAAGACTATCTTCGAGAGTTGAAGATGTGGAGGCACGAGACGGACGTGCCGGTTCGAAAGCATGGGGTGAAAATCCTCAGGGCCCTGTCGGGACCCGCCAAAGCAGTGTGCAATGAGATCGAGGTGGACCACATTTTGTCGGAGGGGGGTGCTGACGCCCTGGTGACAAAACTGAAGGAGTACTATGCTCCACACCCCGAATCTGCCATGCCCAAGGCATTCGAGAGAGCTGTCTACGGCGAGGCTCGCAAGATGAAGGAGACCTTCGGCGAGTTCATCGTGAGGCAGGATGCTCTGTTCCGATCGTTGAAAGAAGAGGGGGTGACTTTGGACGACACCGTCCGGGGATACATCTTGTTTAGACAGGCCAATCTGTCGCAGATGCAAGAAGATCAGGTCACCACTTGGACACAGGGCAAGTATGACAGGCCTTCAGTGGTTGCAGCTCTTCGCAAACTGGAGAAAGTGCAGAGAGATCGCGGAGGCAAGCACTATGTGACCACGGAGGACATCCACGACGAGGAGATGGACTCAGAGGAGGACAAGGACTTCATCTACATCGGTGAGGATGACCTTACTCAGATATATGAGGAGTCAGAGCTGAATGAGGCATTGGCAACGTACCAACAGGTGCGACAGGCCATTCGAGAGCAGCGCAACGGCAGAGGCTACTTCCAGCCAAAGGGCAAAGGAGGTGGAAGTCCATCATCCAGCAAGGGCAACCGTCAGACCCAGAACATCAAGTTCACCGGAAAGGGCACCCGAGTCCACATAGATGTTTTGAAGCTGCGCACAAAGTGCGCGAAATGCGGCCAGATCGGACATTGGGCCAAAGAATGCACCAACGAACCTGATGGAAAAGGCAAAGGCCATGCAGCATCGGATGGGTCCAGCCCCAAGTCAGGCTTCTTTGAGGTGGTCTCCATGGAGGGTGGGTCTGGTTCGCACGTGTTTCACATCACCCTGGGTCAATGTTTGGAGCATGCGAGGGCCGGAAGACGAAGTCAGGAGCCTCCTTTTTCCGGGATTACCACTCAGAGCACTATGGGCATCGTTGATACTGCGGCTCAAGGAGGTCTGATTGGTCTTCCGGCGCTCGAAAGATTGCAGGAAGCCCTAAGGGTACACCACCTCAAGGTGAAATGGACCGGGAAGCAAGCTCAAGCCAAGGGCATCGGGGGTAGCGCAAAGGTTTGTGGTGTGGTAGAGATTCCGGTGGGCATTGCTGGAGTCAACGGCCTGATTGAGGCCACAGTCGTGGAGGAGGAGGTTCCCTTTTTGCTGTCAATTCAATTTTTGAAGCAGGTTGGAGCAATTGTTGATTTGAATCATGGCAATCTCACCCTCTCCAAGTTCGGCACAACCAGTCCGCTCGTACACATGCCTTCCGGACATGTCGCTGTCGGTGTGCAAGTTTTTCATGAAGATGGTTGGCAATTGCCGGACGCGGCCTGTGAAAAGCATCGTGAGGAAAGCTCGTTTCGTTTCTTTTCAGCCGTTCGGTCTCAAAGCACCGTCTTCATGGTGAAGGGAGGCCCATCGACTCAACCCGGAGGCCATGGACTTCATCGCTCGCATCCGCTCCTTGGACAAGAAAGACGAATGGGAGAAAGTGTCCATGACGGATCCTCACGTCTCGGAGAAGGCAGTGAGAAACTGGAGAGTGATCATGGAGCACGTGGCCGACGTGATGGATCTGGTCCGAGCCCAAATAAGGCTCGAAGCTTGGCAACAAGGTGGATCAGGGCATGGATCGCCACTGCAGTCGTCCTTCAGCCACTTGGCATCGGGATCGGAGCCTTTCTCATGCATGGAAGGAGCAAGCCAATCGCAGATCACCAAGGCGTCCATCTACGCCGAGCTCATCCAGATCGGCGACTTCCTGGGCCAGAGGAAATGCCAAGTACCTCCAGCACGGAGTATGAAGGGCTGCGATCATCCCCCGGCAGCACTGGCCGGAGCGGGCAACCAGTCCCAACGGGAGGTATGGTGCAGGAAATGTCACGCCAGGTGGGCAGTGGACCGCCAAGTGATGGACGAGATCGCGGCCAAGAAGAATACCATCCACGTCAATGGCAAGAGCTTTCACCTGACGGGAAAGTCCAAAGCCAGGGAGAAGTCGCCGCCAAGGACTCCAGTCCGAACTCCATCGGCAAAGAAGTCCACGAGGAGTCCGGGCTCTCCGGGAATTCCGGACACGCCCGAAGGAGCGGAGAAGATGATCAACCGCTCGGGCATCAAATGCCACTGCAAGGAGCTTGCCGTCCAGCTGATCGTCAAGAAGGAGGGACCCACACAGGGAAGACTGTTCTGGAAGTGCGCACGCCGTCTGTGCAGCTTCTTCGAGTGGGATCCGGAGGAGACGCAGTTCCTGCAGCAGCGCCTGATGCAGGAGAAGGAGGACGAAGAGGCAAAGAAGTGGCAGGAGCAGGAAGAGCTCGACCGGCGAGTCCTCATCCAGAACACCATGGAGGTAGCCGAGTCCAGGCACCAGGAGATCATGATGGAAGCGCAAACCAAGCACGCCATGGAGATGGAGACGATGAAGAATCAGCTCCTGTGGATGTCAGCAGTGGCCGGAGAAGAGCGTTTGGACCAAGTGTTCCAAAGCCAGGAGCTACAGCAAGAGATGATGGTCAAGGCGATGAAGATGAAGGAGGAACTCCAGGCGCAAGAGCTCCAAGCCCAGGAGACGATGAATGCACTCCAGGGATATCCCAGTGGGCAGCAGATCCACGGCCATCCATGAGGCCGGAACAAATGGACAGAGAGCTTCAGGAAGACGCCCCTCGGGTCATCAAGCTGAAGAATGAACTCCAATGGTCCTTGTGGACAAAGAAGCAGCTGGAAGATCAACAGTTGAACACCTATGAGCGGCAGGTCGCCGACGGGTACTGGCTGCTGGAGGAGGAAAGTTGGCAGTTTCACCAAGGCATTTTGCCAGAATACGAATCCACCGGTCATGAGGTGGCGGTGGTTGAATTCGCTGAGGACTTCTTTAAGGAAGATCTCTATGAGCCCGGTGAGGACAAGCAGCTGGCCAGATCGTCAAGAAAGGCTCTCAAGAAGAAGATGCGACAGCTGGTGGTCTCAGAGGTATTTTCACCTCCCAGAGTGTGCCAAGAAGCCGAGGCCCAAGGACATCTGGCGGGAGGATCGTTCGATTTAGTTACAGGATATGACCTGACAGTCGCCAAGGACCAACGAAGATGCTGGAAAGCACTGAAAGAAGCAGATCCGGACATTTTGGTGGTATGTCCTCCATGTGGCCCATTTTCAATCCTGCAAAGCCTCAACCAGGCCAGGGGAAGCCACACATTGGCCCTCAAGCTGAAGGAAGGCAGGGCATGCCTCCGGTTCGCCATGGAGGTCTTCCGGTGGCAGACAGCCAGAAAGAAACTGGCGATCTTCGAACATCCATCAACCTCCAAGGCATGGCAAGAAGAGTGCGTGATGAAGATGATGGAGATCCCCGGAGTCCAGAGAGTCCGAGCAGACCAATGTCGTTACGGACTGTCGGTGAGGGAGAAGGTGCTCAACAAGAAGCCGACGGACTTCATGACCAATGGAGAACACACGGCACTCGCGCTCAGCCGGAGATGTGAAGGAGGACATGAACATAGGCACCTGATCGGAGGAATTGCCA